TAGTGCTGGTTCGGACCCCTTGGTCCATATGTCTCAACTTTTATACCCTCCCACACGATTGGATAAAAGCTCAATGAGATCCAGGGACTGGGGAAATTGATTGTATGTTTCTTGAAAAGTCCCAACATCTTGTTGTTCATTGTTGTTAATGTGATAATGAGACCTAGTCGAGTGTTATCAACTTTTATCTGATTCTAGGGCACCATCGAAACCATAAATCAAAGATAATTGTTAAAAGGGGGGAAATTCATTTTGGTGCTTAGTTTGTACATCTCAACTTAAATTAGTGGTCAAAAGTATTGAAAAATGATTTGGAGGTTGAGAAATAGGTGGTTCCACAGCATTTCGTTGTCCATTATTTGCATTATACTTCATTTTTAGGTCCCAATCATGCCCTTATTTTTTTCTTATTTTATTAGTAGTTCATAATTTCTATATAACCAGTTTACTAACAGTTCATAATTTATGGTATTTTGTACGAGAAATGGGTGAATAAGACATTACTTAGAAGAAAATGTGATAAACCTAACATTTTTTAAATTGGTAAGCTTTCTATTAAAGTTTCATGTTTTTTTACAATACATTTATAATATCAACCACTTAAAATTCATTAACATCACCAAGAATTATCTCTAACAACCATGTAGTAATCAACCTTCTAGAGTAATCAAAGTTGATCAAAGTTCCTCATTATTCTAAGTGGACCTAACATGCATAAACTAAGGATTATTATGATTCTAAAATTACCTAAAATTTCCATAAACTTCTAAAGTTGATCAAAGTTCCTCATGAAAATAGAAACATTTTACTAGCATATTTGTAGGTCTATTTGACCCACTCGTAGCCTCTAACAATGATTTCATCAGTAATCAACCTTCTAGAGTAATAATTCACCGTCCAAACTATAACAGACTACCTTGCATGATTTGCCATTGTACTGTCATATCATATCATCATCATCATTTCATAAAAATATATCATAAAGTATTAATCTATTTATTATGTACATACCATTCCAAACAAAAGGTTCAAAATATACTTTATAAAATTATTAGCCACGAATCTTGTTAGATATGACGAGTTAGGGGTGAAGAATTTCAGATCCCGTTCGAAGACGTCATATAAACTAATAGTGCAAGAACTCTATGGCTAGCCATTTATACAAAACGTACTCTACTAGTTTACAAGGTCAAACGTCATTTATAGCTTATTATTTCCATGTAACATGTTTAATAAACATCATATATCATTTATAATATGCTCATATAGCCTCGACATGGGATGCTTAACATCAGCATAATGGCATAAATAGCAATAACATTTGTATAGTTAAATAGGCTTTTTATAACGTTATAGTATTCATGTTAATAATTCAACCTTCTTAACATATAAGTCATCATGCAATTTTTCATAAAAACATGCTCAAACATGGAAACTAATCATCATATCAATATATCTTGCATGTGCTAATTCATACTTGCATGTTTAATAACCATTTATGTCATAAAGTAGGGGTTCAATATCAAACCCTAGAATAACTAAACATATACATAACATATAAAGCATAGATAAATGCATTCACCTTCCTTCCCAACAACTTAAAACATGTCCTTCAAGACTTCAAGCTTGAGCTTTACCTTTCTCTTGAATTCTAATGTCAATCATTTCATTGGAAGCATTAATGATAAAAATAAATATTCTTATAGCTATATAAACAATTTAGAAAGCTTTCAACTACATTTTTAAACATGAATCATATTAGCATGGACAATTTTAATTATTTCTAGAAACTTCCTTAATCCTAATTTTCGGGTTCAACTAAAATTAAATAAATTTGTAGAATTATTTTTAATTAAGATTAAACTAATAAATGTATAAGTTTTGAGACAAAAACTTTTATTATACTATGTCACGTTATTATCTACGTTAAGTCAATTATTAAAAGTAACAATAGACGATTAAAATACAATAAAATTAATACTAGATATAATTTCATTAAAATATAATTAAATGATTAAAATAAAAATATAAAGATAAATAACCCAATGAATAACTAATTTATCTTAAAAATAATGGTCGCATAGCATGCTAATAGCAAGAATGCCTATGTATCTTCAGACAGCTTTTAAGTAAATCTTAAATAGTGTACAACCTAAGTGGTGCGCTCTATTTTTTATACATAAAAAACTGTTTTATTGAGATAATTGAATAAAAAATTCAATAAAGGATAGCCCAAATTCAATACCTCTCTTATGGTTGATTTGATGGAACCCCACTAACTTAATTACACACTATCTGCCGCGTGTACGCCATGATCACATAACCCAAAACCTTGATCCATCTCATAGCCGAGAAAAGATTCAGACGATGACATCATCGGTCCCCTATGCCTGACCCTTTATTTATCAACCTCATTAAAATAAAATAAATAAAATATTTTAAATGTTAAATATATAATTTATTTATATTTAAAACTAGTTATTAACGTATTTTCTGAAAAATTAATAATAAATTTATATAATTATAATTAATTAATGTAATATACAAATAAAATTATTATCAATAAATTTATATAAATATAATTAAAATAAATTTAGACAAAAAAAAATTGTCCCTTGTTCCCATATGTAATGGGATAAGGGGGAGGTAATATAATAAGCTGCCCCCAACACCAAATTGAGAATAACTTTCGTAAAAGACTTCTGAATTATAAAATGTCTTCCGTCCGTGAGACTCGACTAACTTGAATAAAAATGCTCAAATACCCGACAATGATATTAATTATTTCATACATATAAAAATTAAAATGAATAAATTAAGTTGGAAAGACGGTTAAGTGGGACCACCATTTTTATTTACCACCTTCAACGGTGCTCCTTTGGTGGAACACTCCAATCCATTATGGTGGGCCTGCACAAATACTAAATCAAATCTATTAATATATAATTTAATATTTTAATAAGACATATTATTGGCACGTTTAAACGTCTACTTTCATATTCAATGAGAATATTTTTATATTATATTTTAATATTTTTAATTCGTAAAATATAATTTATGTATATCGACAAAAGTTTAACTCAATTAAGATAATTATGATTATAATATTTAGAATGACATGGACCACTGTCTTCCAAAAATCCAACAATTTCCTTGGCTGGAGGAGACTGAAAACAGCTCCCATGTGTGAAGCAGGTAATGTCTTGATCACAAGAAGTTTAATTTCCTTCTTTCCCCCTTTTTTTTCTTTAATAGTTTCATATCATTATTGGAATAATATTTGTGCAGAATTTTATTAATAATTGATAATGTCCATATATTTTGTAAATGCAATTTTTTAAACCTAAAATAATAAGACCTCAAAAGAGTATAATAGTTTTTAATCACTTAGATTGTTTGATGGATTAAATGTAATTTCTTTTCTTTTTGGATTAAGTACAGTGTAATTGTTTCCTATATTCACGGCTAGTTTTACTAAAAATAAAAATATTTAAATTACAATAAAGGTTTGTAACCACAATCGTAAATTAAATACATAATAAGACAACTTTTTATAATTAATAATACATGAAATTAGCCACTTAAAATCATAAACAAATGTTAAAAATCTCACCAAATAAACTCGAAAAAAATAGATACGAATAAATCTGATCGGATCAATAAACAAATTATAAAAGAGGATCAAGTTATTGAAAGACTACGACAAACTTCAAATCAAAGTTAATCAACGTGAAAAACTATCTATGAATGCAAATCGCATATCTAAATCCAATCTGATAGTCCAAACATAGAAGATCTACATGCTAACAAATAAGTAACATATTGATTAGTCATAACAATATCATATCTAACCCTAAAAAAATGATAAACCAAAATAATGGTTAAATGATAAAAAAGATGCCAAAAAACAAAAGAAATCTATCATAAAAACATAATTATTAAAAAGTAAAAAAATAATAAAAACATATTATAATAAAATAAAATAATGAATACTAACAATCAACTTTTAATATCAAGATTGATGTAGTCATTAATTACACAGATAAAAAAGATGAGAGATTAACGATGAAGAAAAAAAAAGAGAAAATTATTTTTCCTTATCTGATTCCAAGTGTAATTTGATTCTGAAGGTTATTAGTGTCATCAATTGCGGTCCAACTAATTATTGTGGGATGAAATCAAAATCATATGCACATAAAAGTCATATAATAATTTGTGTGTGCCATGATTGCTGCTTTTTATGTTAATCTTAAATATACTAAAATTTTATGTGTTATATTATACTTATTTCCAAGACGATGATTTGGTTATAGTAAAAATATTAATCTCACTAAACCTGAATAAAATTAATTTTTTAGGAATTTACCCTAATTTCTCTCTCTTTAATTATCATTAATCTTTTTTTCACCTTTTTAATATGCAAAAACATCAATTTTAGTGTTGGTCACTGTCGATATTTATTATTTTTCTTTTCTTTTATTATATTGTATCTTTGTTTTTTTAATTTTAATAACTCTTTCTTTATGATACGTTTTATTTTGCTTTATGACACATTTTCGATTATTTGACTGTTATTTTCATTTATCTGTCTTCTTAAGGTTAGATTTGACATCACCACAATTAATCAAGATGATATTTATTTATTATCATATTGACCTTCTCTGTTTTAGACCCTGAATTAAATCAGATACATGATTTATATTCATAAATAATTTTTTAACGTCACTTTATTTTTATTTTTATGTTCGATTTGTTGATATTTATTCGATGGCTTTGGATTGATACGAGAATTTAATGCTCCTTCTGATAATCCCACGATCCAAGAAATTAGAGCGAAGCTATTTATTACAGTACTTTATGATGTAAGAAATTATAATAGCCTAAGCTCCACTTGTTTTATATTTATGTCTCACATCCCACTTATTTTAGCGGTCGACATTACCACAATCACAAATATATATACATATATATATATATATATATATATATATATGTATATATATATAAGAAAGCTTCTTTTTGTATCGGCAATGCAAAGCCTAAGTTGCTCAAGTGACGTTGTGCAGCTTGATCTAACATCACTACCACCACCTTCTTCCTCTTCCTCCAACAGCACCCCCATGAGCGCCACCACAACCACAACAACCGCCATCAGCGGCTGTCTCTCCATTGATGAGGACGAGCCTACGGAGACTCGACTCAGGAGGATGATCTCTGAGCACCCCGTCATCATCTTCGGCCAATCGTCTTGTTGCATGTGTCACGTCATGAAAAAGCTTTTGGCCACCATCGGGGTTCACCCTACTGTCATTGAACTCGATGAACGTGAGATGGCTTACCTCCCTCCGCCGCCGTCGCCTGCTCAATATAGTGTCTCCCCTCGGATCCCTTCCCCCGCAGTGTTCATCGGTGGAACCGGCATCGGCGGGCTAGAATCCCTCATGGCTCTTCACCTCAGTGGGCACCTCGTTCCAAAGCTCGTCGAAGTTGGTTCTTTCTGGGTATGACAAATAAGCACTATTATTATTTATATATATGTAGCATTAAGAATCATGTAACGATCAAGCTTTCTTTTTTAGTGCTTCTTTCAATCTGGTTGTTCCTTTCATTATTATTACTTCTTTATAATTAAGTCAATAAATATAAAATCAAGCAGTCCAGTTCCAAAAGAAAAAGTTCCTGCTGCTTCGATCAGGGGGAGAGGATTAAATCTGAGTTTAGAGAATGAACACCGAGTGGAATGGGCCATTTAGAGTGGGGTTGGTTGCCAATTATTGAGTATCTCAGAGCCTCTGAAATTTGTTCATTATTGGTTATTTTTATTAATAATTTATGTTGTATAAACTTCGATATAAATATATATTTCCTGTGTGTGCATTAATATCACTGAAAAAGGGTTTACCGATCCCATGATACTCTGAAAATGAACTGTGAAGAAAAGAACCTATAATTGTCATCAACACATCAGACAGTGTTCAAGGATGCGTCAGTCACAACCATCAGTTCTAACTATTCGATTGTTGAACTGAGTCGAATTGTTTAACATATATCCGAGATCTTGAACGTTTAAACTAAGATTGTTGAATTGAATCGAATTATTTAACATAAATATTCTAATCCTTGATCAATTATATTTTACAACAAAACGGCAGATGAACCTTTTTTTTTTTGGATAATTCAATTTTTTATTACCCAAGAAACAACGTTAGTTACAAGAATCACCGATCCCAGAAAACATGAAGAATATATAAGCAAATACAAAATAAACGATCGGTATTAATCAATACCCCAAGCAATGCAAAGATTGGATCGAGTTAACATAGTCAAGCCTATTAATATTTCCCCCCCTAAGTTTAATTCCTACATAGTCTTTAATACTGCTAAGTAATTCAGCAGTGTTTCGAGAGCAACCTTTGAAAATCCTTCGGTTGCGCTCCTCCCACAAAACGTAGATGGTTGCGCTCCAAGCAAGTTTGAGGATAGTGATTAATAAAGATTTTCCTTTCCAAGTGCAGCTCGCCCAAGAGATCATGTCTTCCCAAGAAGAAATAGTCTTGTTAATCCCATTCAGAAGAAGAGTTTGTACCCGTAGCTGAGTGGCAATCGGACATTCAAAGAACAGATGGTTTCGATTTTCTAAAGTATCATTACATAAAACACAGCTTCCAATAGAAACAATTCCCATCCGTTGAATACGATCACATGTAGGCAGCCTATCAATCATAGCCATCCATGCAATCAAACTAAGCTTGGGGATGTTTTGAGGGAACCAAATTAAAGAGTGCCAAGGGACTTTATCCTCCTTCATTCTAATTTCTTTCCATATTTGCCTTACTGAGAGAGCTCCATTATGGAGAATAGGATGAGCTTCTATTCGAAGCTTAAGGATTTTTCTAAAACTCCAACTCAGACTAGGACCAGCTTCCATTTGCCATAACTCTTTACCCTTAAGAACATAAGCCTTTACCCAGGCAACCCATAAAGAACCCTCACTTGCAAGGATATTTTTAATGAGTTTGATCATACATGCTCTATTCCACTATTTTAAGTTTTTTAGACCAAGACCACCCTTATATTTCAATTTGCAAATATTGCTCCAGAGCATACCCTCGCACTAGTGGCTGATTTATCATTGCCTTTCCAGAAGAAACGACAGCATAGTTGTTCAATCTTGCTGATTACCGAATGAGGAAGCAGAAATTGCCTACACCAATAATTAGCAATGCTGAACAGCACTGCTCTGATAAGCTCCAATCTTTCAGCGTAGCTAAGATACTTGCAAGACCATATAGAGAGTTTAGATTTGATACTATCAATAAGCGGGTCATAGTCTTTCATTGAGAGTTTTCTTGAAGTTAGAGGAACTCCAAGATATCTAACTGGTAAAGTACCAGGTTGGAAACCAGTAATCTGCTGGATAAGCTCCATGTTTCTAGATGAAATTCCAGCACTAAAGAAAACACACTTTTATGCATTTAGATTTAAGCCAGACATTTCATAAAATTGTTCAAGAACAGAAATAACTCCAATAACCGAATCAACATTGCCTTTACAAAAAATCATCAAGTCATCAGCAAAGGATAAATGAGTGAGACATATTCTTTTGCATTTAGGATGGAAGCTAATCAGGTTCTTTGCAGCAGCAAGATTAAGCAATCTAGAGAGAACATTCATTGAAATAACATAGAGAAGAGGGGAAAGAGGATCACCTTGTCTAATGCCTCTAGCGCCCTTGAAATACCCTATTAAACTTCCATTGAAGGCAATGGAGAATCTGGCATCAGTGAAGCAGGCTTCAATCCAAAAGATAAATTATTGAGGGAGATTTAAAGCTCTAAGGACTGAAGATATGAAGCCCCAGTGCAGAGTATCAAAAGCCTTTTGAAGATCAATCTTCAAAGAACATCTTGGAGAGATGTTTTTCTTGTTGTAGCCTTTAACCAGCTATTGTGCAAGGATTGTATTTTCAACAATGCTTCTTCCTTTAATAAAAGTGGTTTGGTTGAGAGAGATAATATCATAAAGAATACCAGAAAGTCTTTTGACCAATATCTTTGAGATAGTCTTATAAATAACAGAACAACAAGATATTGGTTTGAAATCTTTGACTTTACTGGGATTAGGAATTTTAGGCACCAAGACTATAGTAGTAGCATTGAAGGCAGGGAGCATAGTGGAATGGTGGAAAAAATGTTTAATAGCTGCCACCATATCTTCACCAATAATAGGCCAAGAATGTTTGAAAAACTGTGGGGAGTAGCCGTCAGGACCAGGAGCTTTGTTGTTGCCCTGGTCAAAAATGGCTTCTTTAATCTCTTCTGAGGTTACTGGCTTGGTCAGAGAGGAATCAGTTTCTGTAGAAATGTAGTTCAGAAGCTCTTTCAAGAATTGCAGATTTTCTCCTTTAACCATAGGATCAACTTTCCCAATCAAGTTGGAAAAGAAATCAATTACTTCTGAGGACATTGCATCAAATGTCTCAAGTCTAGTACCCTGGTCATCAATGAGCATTCGGATAGTATATATTTTATTCTTTACAGCAACAGCAGAATGGAAAAAATTGGAGCATTTATCTCCATCTTTAATCCAATGGATCTTGGCCTTTTGCTTCAAAAAAAGAAGTTCGACTTCTTCAAGATTATGCAGTTCTTGTTGAACTTGAAGTTCCTTATCAATGGTGTCTACTCCTTTCAAAGAGAGGAGTTATTGTTTTTCTAATTCCATTTTCTTGCTTTTTACCCTTGCGGAAATGTCTTTGTAGCAAGAGGAGTTTAAATTTTTTAGACTGGATTTTAGGTGCTTGAGCTTTAAAAACAGAGTCTTCATGGGATTACCTTGGAAAGCAATCTGCCAGGATTGTTCAACCACTTTCAAAAAATTGGGGTGCCGGGTCCAGAAGTTAAAGAACTTAAACAGTTTAGGCCTATCAGAAGGAGTGTCTTTAATAAACCATATAATACCCATGCGGTGATTCGAGACTCCAGGAGAGAGGAATTCCACAAAAGAAAATGAAAATGAGTTAGCCCAATTGGAGTTAATAAGGATTCTGTCAAGCTTTCTTGCAAGGTAAGAGTCAGTTTGTTTGTTGCTCCAAGTAAAGAGAGGGCCAAAGAAGGGATGGTCATGGAGGTCAAGGTATTGAGTAACAAATTGAAATTCTTTCATATCAGGAGAAGAGAAAGGGCAGAGCAGCTCATAGTCTGAGCTTTCATTAGGATGCAGAGTGAAGTTGAAATCACCTCCCAAAATCCAAGGGAGGCGACCAAAGCCTCTATCCAAGTCATGAAGATTAAGCCAAAGATTTATCCTATTAACATAATCATTGCTACCATAGATAGCAGAAAGGACAAAAGAAAGACCACTGTGATTTCCCTTGACAGTAATGATTTGGTCTGAAATTTAGATAATAGAAAGCTCAAAGTTTTTCTTCCATAGGATCCAATTTCTACCATTAACAGCATGATCATAATTGGAGCTGACATTCCAATTTGATAATTTTGAATCAAAGATGTGTTTCGTTTTTTCAGCCTTAACTCTAGTCTCAAGAAAACAGAGAATATCCACTTTATTTTGGGTTGCCCTAAGGAGCACCCTGTCTTGTTTTAGAGGATTGTTGAATCCTCTAATGTTCAAGAAGCAAACTATTATTGAGGGTTAGGTTTAATGGAGGTTTCTTCACCCCTAACTTTGGGACTTTTGACCTTTTCCAGTTTGTAATTTTTTTTCTGTTTGAGGTCTTTTACCAGTTCAGCAACACCCTTGGAAGCAATTCTGATTTTTCTTTGAGGGGCATCTTGACTAGGGGAGCTTCATCAATTGAGTTGAGAAGCTCAAATCTATTCATAGAACCAACAAGAGTGTTTTTTTCTTTGGGAGGCCTACCTTTACCACGTTTAGGAATATGTGGTTCAACTACTGTTGAGGAAAGAGGCTCAATATAATTTTTCAGTACTGAATCAACTGAGGAATTAGAAGTGGTAATATTGTTAAGGGCAATGCTAACATCCAAATAATGGCTCTTCTCAGGAGGGGTAGAGTTAGGAATGCTGATATCAGAAGGTAAAGTTGAACCAGGTAAATTTTCATTTGCATGAGGAGTTTCCTTAGGATTAGGATTGCCCTGTTCTTGAACAGCCTCCATTTCACCCTGGTTGGAATTGGAGCTTGATGATTCTTTCTTTTTCCAGACTTGGGTAGGTAAAGGAGGTGGAGAAATTTTAACCAAGCAATTTTTGTGGCCAAAGATCTTGCATTTCTTACATCGTGGAGGAAGCCAGGGAATTTCAACATAAACAGAAGAATATTGACCATCTTGGAGAACAATACCAACAGATTTTGGAATTTCGTCATTGACACCAATCTCTACACAGACCTTAGCGAATTCCAACATGGATTTAGAGGCCGTAACTGAATCCATAGAAATAGGAATCCCTATTCCACTAGCTATGTAACTTAAGCCTGCTTGTGAGAATAATTCTAATGGAATGTTGTAGAGATGAACCCAGATTGGGATTTTAGAGATATCAAAGCTTAAACGTTTAAGGTTTGGCTCCCATTTTCTCAAAATCAGAGGTTTATTAATAATATGCCATGGTCCGTTTTCAAGGACCCATTCTCTAACAGATTTAGAGGCAAAAGAGAAAATATAAAGATTGGAACCTGCTAGACTGACCTGGACTCGAGTGTTATGCGAAGCCTTTGCCCACAGTTGATCGACAATCCGCTGCATCGTCATAAAATTGGGAGCCGGACCAAGGAATTGCCCAACAAGAGAAAACTTCCATTCCGAAATCCCAGCTTCAATTATCTCAGCAGGTGGGTTAATCGTAGGTATTCCATCTTTAAAACTCGGTGGGTAGAAATTTAGGGATTGACCAGTATTATTCCCGAATAACTTTCTCCAGTCCATCGATCGAAAGTCTTTGAAAATGAAACAGGATGCTCAAGAAGAAGACAACCGAAGCTTGAAGATGGTATGAAGGAGAAGAAAGGACCACTGGAGACACGTCGAAATCTAGGAATCCGTTAGACCTGCTAACGTGTGCCCAGAGAAAAGGAACGTGCGCCCAGAAAAAAAAATTGGACAAGTTTCATAGGTTAACAAGAAAAAAAATTATTGGGTTCTATCCCCCTTAGCTATATATTAATATTTTAATTTATTTTATACTCAATCAAGTTGTGACATATGTAAATAAGAAGTTATTGTTGAAAATTAAACCAACTTTCGATGGAAAGTTGGATTTAATTAATCCACCGAATACAATTGTTAAAAAGCAGTACACAATTGTTGATTTTTCAACAATGATAAAACCTCAATTTTAGCCATTATAATTTATGGTATTTACAAATTAGTCCTTAAGCTTCAACTATAAATACCCTAGCTCATTTAGCTTTAAAATCATCCCAAAGCATTATAGCTTTCTTCCAATACTAGAGAGAATTTAGAGAGTTTCTTTATAGTTGTTTTCTCTTTTTTATCAAGAGAGAATTATCATTGTTTTCTCCTTGGTAGATCGAGAGAAGTTGTAATTCCTATTTTCTCATAGTGAAATTCTTCTACCGTTGCCCGTGATTTTTACCCTATATTATTTAGGGGTTTTTCACGTAAATTTTGTGTCTCTTTTATCTTCAATTTTTATTTTCTCAAATTATCAGTTGCGTTTTTGCTCTATCCGATAGCCGTCTTCCGTAACAATTGGTATCAGAGCCAGATTAGATTGTGTAATATTTGCTTATTGTCTTTGTGGTTGCCACCAAAAGGTGGATCCTCCAACATAAGAAAGTAAGAAGTTATTACCCATTCTTTAAAGGTTCCAGAGAACTATTCACGATAGTGAAATAGTGTGAGCTATCCGTAAAAGAAGCTATGACAACGAAATTTGATATTGAAAAATTCAATGGGAGAAATTTCTCATTGTGAAAATTGAAGATGAAGGTCATCCTGAGGAAAGACGGTTGTCTACCAGCTATCAATGAAAGGCCGGTGGATTTCACAGATGACAACAAATGGATTGAAATAGACGGGAATACTATGGCAAACTTTCATCTAGCCTTAGCAGATGAAGTATTGTCAAGCATCGAGGAGAAGAAGACAGCTAAGGAGATATGGGATCTTCTCACCAAATTGTACGATGCTACATCGTTGCACAATAAAACTTTCCTTAAGAGAAAATTGTACACTCTCCGTATGCCAGAATCTACTTCAGTGAGGGAGCACTTAAATACACTGAACACTTTATTTTCTCAGCTTACATCCTTAATCTGTAAAATAGAAGAGCAAGAACGTGCTGAACTTCTACTTCAAAGTCTACTGGATTCGTATGATCAACTTATCATCAATTTGACAAACAGTAATGTCACTAGTCTAGTATTCGATGACGTTGCAGCTGTTGTTCTACAAGAAGAAAATCGGCGCAAGAACAAGGAAGACAGACAAGTAAATCTACAATAAGCAGAAGCATTGACAACGATGACAACGATGAGAGGGATATCAATAGAACGTGGCCAAAGAAGCAGTCACAAACATGGTAGATCGAAGTCGAGGAGCAAGAAGAATTTAAAGTGCTACAACTGTGGAAAGAAGGGTTACTTGAAGAAGGATTGTTGGAGTCTAAATAAAAACTTCAACCCACAAGGCAATACCGCAAACACTTTAGATGATGGAGATGCTCTATGTTGTGAAGCGTCAACCACCGTGGAAGGCAGAAAAAGATTTGCAGATATATGGCTCATTGATTCGGGAGCAACATATCACATAACCTCAAGAAGAGAATGGTTCCATCATTATGAACCTGTCTCAGGAGGATCTGTATATAGTTGCAATGATCATGCCTTAGAGATCATTGGCGTGGGAACCATCAAATTGAAGATGTGTGATAGAACAATTAAAGTTGTTCGAGATGTGCGGTACGTGAAAGGTCTAAAGAAAAATTTATTATCCTACGGATTGTTGGATAATAATGCAAGCAAGATTGAAACACGGAAAGGAATCATGAAGGTGTTCCGTGGAGCGCTTGTAGTGATGAAAGGTGAAAAGATAGTTGCAAACTTGTACATGCTGAAGGGAAAGACTTTGGCAGAAGCATAAGCCTCTGTTGCTTCATGTAGTTCAGATTCGACAATGCTATGGCATCAGAAACTTGGACATATGTCAGAACAAGGAATGAAAGTCCTTGTGGAGCAAAACCTACTTCCAGGCTTAACAAAGGTAACAATTCCTTTGTGTGACCATTGCATAACAAGTAAGCAGCACCGATTGAAATTCCACAAATCAAATTCTAGAGGGAAAAGTGTTCTAGAATTGGTCCACTCTGACGTATGGCAAGCACCAGTTACATCCCTAGGTGGAGCAAAATACTTTGTCTCATTTATTGATGACTACTCTAGGAGATGCTGGGTGTACCATATTAAGAAGAAGTCAGATGTGTTTTCAACTTTCAAAAACTTCAAAGCGCGGGTGGAACTTGATTCTGGAAATAAGATCAAGTGTTTCAGAACAGATAATGAAGGAGAATACACAAGTGAAGAATTTGATGACTTTTGCAGGAAATAAGGCATCAAAAGACAGTTCACAGTGGCGAACACTCCTCAACAAAATGGAGTGGCAGAGCGGATGAACAGAACCTTGTTAGAAAGAACAAGAGCAATGTTAAGGGATGCAGGCCTAGAAAATTCATTCTGGGCAGAAGCAGTCAATATCGTCTGTTATTTGGTGAATCGAGCTCCATCAACTGCAATAGAGCTGAAGACACCAATGGAGATGTGGATTGGTAAACCAGCTAATTATTTAAACCTCCATATATTTGGAAGTATTGTGTACATTATGTACAACTCCCAAGAAATCTCAAAGCTGGATCCAAAATCCAGGAAATACAAATTCTTAGGGTATGCTGATAGAGTCAAGGGGTATCGCTTGTGGGATCCACTGCCCACAAAGTAGTCATCATCAGGGATGTTATCTTTGTAGAAGATAAGCTACAAAGAAAAGAAGATGATGATAGCGCTGAAAAGTCAAAGACTACACAGATACATGTGGAAAAAAAAGTTGAACAAGGAGATTCTTCTGAAGCAGAACCAACACATGATGAACAAGAACTAGAGAGTTCTGAAGCTCCAACAACTCGTCAATCAGATCGTGTGAGAAGACGTCCCAATTGGCACTCAGATTATGTTATAGAAGGAAATGTTGCATGCTGCCTTTTAACAGAGGACGGTGAGCTAACAACATACCAGGAGGTAATAAACAACTCAGATGCTTCACTGTGGATGATAGCGATGCAAGAAGAAATCGAAGCCCTTCATAAAAATAATACATGAGACCTTGTGCCACTACCACAAGGAATGAAGCCAATTGGTAACAAATGGGTCTTCAAAATCAAGTAAAATGGTAACGATCAAGTGGAGAGGTATCGTGCAAGACTGGTGGTCAAAGGATATGCTAAAAAAGAAGGTATTGATTTTAATGAAATTTTTTCTCTTATGGTTCGACTAACAACAGTTCGAGTAGTCTTGGCAATGTGTGCTACATTAAACTTACATCTAGAGCAACTAGATGTTAAAACAACTTTTCTTCATGGAAATCTTGAAGAAGAGATTTACATGCTCCAGCCTGAAGGTTTTAAAGAAAAAGAAAAGAAGAACTTGGTTTGCAGGTTGAACAAATCTCTGTACGGTCTAAAGCAGGCGTCTAGGTGTTAGTATAAGAGATTTGATTCCTTCATTATGTGCCTTGGATACAACAGACTTAATGCAGACCCTTGTGCTTATTTTAAGATGTCTGGTGATAACGATTTTGTTATATTGCTGTTGTATGTGGATGACATATTGGTTGCAGGACCCAACAAAGATCATATTGAAGAATTGAAGGCACAACTGGCTAGGGAATTTGAAATGAAGGACTTGGGATCGGTAAACAAGATTCTAGGGATGCAAATTCACCGAGACAGAAGTAATAGGAAGATTTGGCTTTCACAAAAGAATTACTTGAAGAAGATCTTGTCACGATTCAACATGCAAGATTGTAAGCCAATTTATACCCCTCTTTCTATTAACTTCAAATTATCTTCCAGTATGAGTCCTAGTAGTGAAGAAGAGATGATGGAGATGTCTCGAGTACTGTATGCATCATTAGTGGGAAGTTTAATGTTTGCTATGATATGCACAAGACCAGACATTGCACAAGCAGTGGAAGTGGTTAGTCGGTACATGGCGAATCTAGGCAAAGAGTATTGAAATACAGTAAAGAGGATCCTGAGATACATCAAAGGGACCTCAAATGTTGCATTATATTACGGAGGATCAAATTTACTTATCAATGGGTATGTTGATTCTGACTATGCAGGGGATTTGGATAAAAGTAAATATACTACAAGATATGTGTTTAAAGTTGCTGGTGGAGCTGTAAGCTGGGTTTCAAAATCGCAGTCAGTTGTGGCTACATCCACAACAAAAGCAGAATATGTAGCAGCTACACAAGCCAGTAAAGAAGCAATTTGGTTTAAGATGCTATTGGAGGAGCTTGGGCACAATCAAGAGTGTGTCTATATGTTTTGTGACAGTCAAAGCGCCTTGCATCTAGCAAGGAATCCAACATTTCATTCAAAGACAAAACACATACGAGTTCAGTACCATTTCATTCATGAAAAGGTGGAAGAAGAGACGGTGGATATGTAGAAGATACATACCAAAGACAACATAGCAGATTTCATGACGAAGGCGATCAATACCGATAAATTTACTTGGTGTCGATCCTCTTGTGGCCTGTCAGAAACGTAAGCAACATGATGGTACAAGGTAGAAAGAATGGTGTGAAGATATGATTGTTTCAATCAAATCTTCAAGTGAGAGATTGTTAAAAATTAAACCAACTTTCGGTGGAAAGTTGGATTTAATTAATCCACCGAATACAAT